AGTAAAACTTTCCCTCCCCTCCCTGACAGTTCAGGTCACATTGTCCAATTAATCTTCCAGAAAGAAGAAACTTCGGTTCGTCAAAACATCAAAATCTACTAGACCACCTGAAGTTGAATTTTAAAAAACCTAGTAGCTAACAGTGAGAGGTAATTTGGTGTAGGGGTTAAAGACAATGTGTTAGAAACTGGGAGAATATTAGTTCTAATCCTACCTAGAGCTGTGTTGGTGTACTGGTTAGAATACAGTACTGCAAGCTACTTCTGCTGAGTGCTGGCTGCTAGCAGTTCAGCAGTTCGAATCTCACTAGCTCAAGGTTGACACAGCTTTCCATCCTTCCAAGGTCAGTAAAATGAGGATCCAGATTATTGGGGGCAATATGCTGACTCTGTAAACTGCTTAGAGAGGGCTGTAAAGACTATGAAGCAGTATATAAGTCTAAGTGCTATTGCTATTGCTATTTTGGGTGAATTATCCCCTCAGTCCTAAAAGGAAAGCAATGGTAAGCCATTTCTTAAAACATTGTCAAAAGAACTGCACTATAACTGCCAAGAATCAAGGCTAACTCAAAGGCATATGTGTGTATTTGTATGCTTGTATGCATGTATAACAATAGAAATTAAATTGATTTCTTATATTAACATTTTGAGAGAGTAAATTTATATAGTCAAAATTCTGATGGCCTACAGAATAATTAAAATCTCCTTAATATAACAATAATAGTGGAAAACAATAAAATGTGCCCAGTAAGGATGTAAACTATTGTAAACAATCTCACAGTAAAATTAAACAAGCAATGGTCTCATAATCATATACAAAATAGCATGTCATTATCAAATTCTGCTATATCATGTTGCTGCTATAACTGTGAACACTGTTTCCTACCTATATTTCCTAAGCATTTTTTGTAATTTATCTGGATTCATAAAGCTTTTGTACCATCATAGCCAATCAATTCACTATTCATTGTGTTGGTAGAAATTCTAGCCCACTGAATAACACCAAACAGCAAGTTGAAATTAGACAGAGATTTATTGGCTACAACGGTTTGCAAAGCGTGGTAGACTCCAAATAAATATTTGAGCCACACCTGGTCACAGCAAAAACACACATTATATACATTCTATCCCGATGCCTTGGCCCCTCCTCTGAGGTTACAATCTTACCAGAGCCGCCTAAACAAAATACATTATCCCTGCCCCTTACTATTTTGCTTCACCTATTCCCTTATATGTACTTTATCATGAAATCCTATAGCTCAGTGTGGAAATCCTATAGCCTACGTGCAGAACTCTTACAAGGTACGTGTACATGTAGAAATTGTGTAGAAATCTTGCAGTCTACGTGTAGAAATTTTGTGTAGAAATCTTTCTGTCTGCGTGTAGAAATTTTACAGAGTACGTGTCACTTAACTTAACTTTTATTCCTAAAATTGACAGTCTTATTTGGACAACATGCTCTAAGTACAGCAAAGGGCTGAGTCAAATGCCCTTCAAATTCAGCTCAAACAGGTCCATGGTTATCTGGGACCATGACTGAGAGATCATGAGAATCCAAGTTGTTCCAGCCCTGACCCCCAGGGCAAGGAGGACAACATTTCTCTCTATACCAAAATGTGAAAGGACTCCTTTTTACCACATAGACACATCAGAATCTCAGGGGCAGATGCCCTGATCACAGGAAAGATAGGCCATATCTTCAAAAGCATGACATTGCTACCTTACCCTACCAGGTTCTGAAAATACACACCAGTTACTTTCTTTATTCACCAAATCATGAATGAACAAGATCTACAGTCAGACCTATTATTTACTATCAGCAGCACGAAGTTAAGGTTATCAGCGTTCTAAGCATCAAGACTGCAGGTCCATCATCATCATCATCATCAAGGTGAAGGGGACCTTGGAGGTCTTCTAGTCCAACCCTCTGCTCAGGCAGGAAACCCTATATTATTTCAGGCAAATGGTTGTCCAGTCTCTTCTTTAAAACTTCCAGTGTTGGAGCATTCACAACTTCTGGAGGCAGGTTGTTCCACTGATTAATTGTTCTGTCAGGAAATTTCTCCTTAGTTCTAGGTTGCTTCTCTTCTTGATTAGTTTCCATCCATTGCTTCTTGTCCTGCCTTCAGGTGCTTTGGGGAATAGCTTGACTCCCTCTTCTTTGTGGCAGCCCCTGAGATATTGGAACACTACTATCATGTCATCTCTAGTCCTTCTTTTCATTAAACTAGACATACCCAATTCCAGCAACCGTTCCTTAAATGTTTTAGTCTCCAGTCTCCTAATCATCTTTGCTGTTCTTCTCTGTACTCTTTCTAGAGTCTCAACATCTTTATTATTATTTTTTAAATAATATTTTATTAATTTTCCAATTTTACATCTAAGTATTTAAAAAGCAATGTGGTGGCTAGGTTAATCAATAGTTCAATAACATACAAAAATCTTTAGTACAAATCTGAAGTTACAACATCAAATATTTCCTCTTTTTCCCTTAATATCTATTATCTCCTATTTAAGTTAATACAGTTCTTATTATATCAACTAACTAAAAACATCATTATTACATTTATCAATAAATTTTAGCTTATACATATCTTAATTACTTTTACATTCAATCTTTATAGATAATCAATGTCCCGTTATTGATTTTTCCCAATTTTTAGTTTTCCATCAATATTCAAATTTAACATTGATATTTATAATTTCCAGGCTTTAGGTAACCAAAGTTTTCCTTATCTCAATTCATAACAGAATCTAATATTCAGAATACACATCTTATCTATTTGAATATAGTCTTGTTCTATTTCCTAAAAGTTATCTATTTCCCACCATATTAAATCATCTAATTAATAATACAGTATCCCCTTTAATAAATCAAAACCATTACATATATTGTCTGAGTTAATCAATAAATCAAACATATTCATAATGTTTTTTATTTGGGGTCTAATTTTTAAATATTAAACAAATAGAACCCTTATTTTCAACTAGTTTCCAAATATTTTAAATTTAATGATCAAAATTCCCCTTATCTCATTAAATTGTCTCCCTATTATTCCAATTCCTTATGATTGTCCTGATATGTTTATCTTCCATTCAATCTGTTCTTCTTCTTTCTCAGATTTCTTCTGATTTATATAGAAAGTCTTTTCCATTTTCAGTGTTGTCACTCCCTTTTCTGGATTTTCCATTAACTGGAAATTGTTGGTCAATTGAGTCCTCTGTCTTAGTATTTGATTGTTCCACTTCTGTTATCTTCTGCGTTGTTAGTTCTTTGGTTGTAGTCAAAATTTGGGTTTCTGTATCTAAGCTGGCATCTTGTTCTTTTATGTTGAGTCTTATTTTGTCCCAAGCTGAAAGAATGGTTTCATGTATTGCTTTCAACATGGAAAGGATCTTTTCCTGGTCTTCATCCATATTCTCTTAATAATGTGTTAAGTTGAGGAGTTTAAAATCACACGTTAAAAATAATTTTATAACTAGGTATGGGACCTCTATTTCATGTGTTTATAGTTAGTCTTTATAATAGAAGTCGTTTCTCAAGTAAAATTTTATAGCCCAAGGTATTTCATCATCTCATATAATAACCAATGTTCCTCAAATAAAGAGAGAGGAAAGCAATTCCCCACATATACCTCTGAAAGTTAGTAAAGGTTTACATTCATAGTTCAAGCAGGCTAGTTATGTCACCCAGAAGTTCTCTTTACAGCTGAGTTTCTCACAGGTGGTATCAAGGTCAAAAGAGTTTTATTTGAAGTCTGGGCTTCAAGCCAAGTCTCTTTTAGGCAATAACAAGTTGTAATACCAAACTTTGCCACAAGATGTCACCGATGCCGTTTAAAACTTTTTAAATCCCCCGTTTTTATAATAGTTTTTCAAAGTTTATTTTTTTTCTTTTTAGTAAAACTCAGTGTATTCAGTAGAAATAGGAATAAGAAAACTTTTAAGAAAACTTTTTAGTCCCCAAATTTCAAAAGTATATGCATCCAATTAGATTAAAGTTGTTTTTATAATTGCTTTGTTTCCCCTGGATAGTCAGTTGCTGCTGTTCTTAGAGGAGGGGCAGGAATTCCCTTCCCTCTCTCCTCACAGCTGTCAGCAGCTTAATGACGAGCCATATTGTAATGGCCGGTCTTTTCCCCGTCAGTTTGGAGAGCTGCCCCAGATCAAGCAGAAGGGCTGCCGCCCTCCCGTGATCAAGCGGGGATCCTCTCCTCACTCGTCACCCCTATAGGGTGACTTTCGACCCTTTCCAGGGTCCCCCAGTGGGATGAAATCGGATGCTGAAGACGGAGTTTGTCTCCATGCATCTGGAGGTGCCGATGGCAAACCGGAAGTCTCAACATCTTTTTTACATTGTGGTGACCAAAACTAAGAAGTGGAGCCTCTCACCAATATTCCCCCTGCCATATCTTCCTAAAACCATTATTATTGTGATTAGTTCTCCACCTCCATCAATAAGGAATTCACCCCTAAACAGTCACTAGATTTCTTTAACTCCACCTCTCATCACTACGTATGAACACATTCTATTCACCATTATATATTTAAATGCTAGATATATTAGTCTAATGTAGTCTAGTCTGATCTGATGTATATCTAGACTGTTGAAGTACGTACTTCTGTTATGAAACTATATGGTGTTAATATCTGTAAGAGAGGCACTTTTAAAGATGTCCCTATTAGCCAAGGGTCATTTCTCTGTCATATAGGAGAAGGTTTTCCCAAGATGTTTAATGTACTATCTGTCTTGGGCAAAGCTCTCTATGGTTTCTGCTTTAGAAAAACAACCACTATGCATCTATTTTCCTGGGCTTTTACACTTTAGTTTTCCTAACTGCCTTTAGTACTCACTGATGTGGAAAAACAGAATTTAAATAAAACAAATTGCTAATGAATGTTCATTTCTGAGAAACAAAATTTAGACACTTTGATTGATTATGAATCTTTATTAAAATATCTTTAGGTTAATATTTAATGCATTCTATTATACATCTATAGGAGCAAATGTGCAAAAGGGAAAGTTTTTGGAAACTCCATTGCATGCAGCTGCAAGGTTACCTAATACAGAAATAGTAAACATGCTTCTTGAGTTTGGAGCAGACGTAAATACCAAAAATTCAGAGTTTGAACGACCAGTAGATGTCGCTGTTTCAAGCAGTTTGGTGGAAAAAATACTGCTATTACATGAAGGTAAAGTTTTGTTCTTTCTTTGTTGCTGTTGGGTTTTGGATGGCAGACGAAGCTGCTTCTTTTTCTCTTTCTCAGTGCTGAAGAAGCATATATTAGATTTAGAACGAGGGGAGAAGAATTTTCCATCCTCCTGTCTGACTATAGCAGGTTGCAAACTTCACTTTCCCTGGGAAAACATTTTTTTTTTTACCCTTTCTATTTTTTTCCCCAAATCATTCAAAGTCTTGTTGAATTTTACAAACATTCCTTAATTTTCCTTACTGAAAACGTGCATATGTACTAGATACCTCTTAGATGCATGTCAGTAAAAATGGCAGAGCATGCAAGAAATCTAATGTATTCAACTGAAATGTCTGTTTGAATATATAATAAAAATATATAATACAATAAGTTCAAAATGTAAGTTCTTGAGAATACTATCTAATGCTACCTAATGTCATTTTTTATTCACTTGCAGTTACTCCATGTTCTCTTTGCCAGCTGTGCCGACTACAAATCCGAAATTATATAGGAAAATCTAGATTGCACCTTGTACCACAACTTCAGCTGCCAAACATCTTGAAAAATTTCTTACAGTATCGATAAAATAGTGAATTGTATTTCAGAACTTGAAGAAATATTCTACAACATGCTACATATGAAAAATTATATGATAGGAAACAACCTAAACAAGCTCACCTGCACATTAAAATCATGCCAAACATAATTTGGAATTCTTTGAAATAGTATTAAAATTAAATATAACTGTCCATATTTTACAGAGCTGTACAAATCCTTTGAAAAAAGTGTTCTGGAATGCAAGGTAATATGTGCGAAGACTCCTTTTTTGAATGATTAAAGCAACCAAATATTTAAGAAGCTGCTTCCAGCCATTTCCATTTATCACTGGCTATATATGCATATGTATGCAGACAGAGACAGCAGCAACTTTCTCCACAGCTACCTTAGCAATTTAAAAAATTGGGCTTTGTGCACTTCCTGGCATGTTCCAAAGCATGTTTTTGGAAGGACTTACACAGCCTAATAGTTTGAAAATGTATTTTTTACAATATAGTTCTTATTGATTGCATTTAAATTTTACTTTTGTCAGTCTAAGAGCCATGGTGATCCAGTGGTTAGAAGGCAGTGTTGCAGGCTATCTCACTGCTCACTCCAGGAGTTCAGTTCTCAGTGGCTCAAGGGTCACTCAGCCTTCCGTCCTTCCGAGGTTGATAAAATGAGAACCCAGATTGTTGCAGGCAATATGCTGACTCTGTAAAACTGCTTAGAGAGGGCTATAAAGCACTGTGAAGCAGTATATGTCTAAGTACTATTGCTATTTCCAGGAGACTATATATTGCACTGCAAATTGTAAATTCTTTTTGAATTGTGATCTCTTTTCTTCAGCACTATTTTCTTAAAAGTATTAGAATGGCAGTGGAGAGAAACAGAAATGGGATTTAAATAAATTAATGCTTCCAATCCTTTCCATATTTCTTCTCTGTATAAATTTTCTCAACTTGTGATCCCAAATTCACTAGGAGCTTCCCAAGATTTGGATGTAATTCTAAATTGCAACTGAAAAGGGAGGCTATTAAGTACAATAAGTTTGGGAGATGATTATACTAATTTCATTTAATAATTTAATTGCAATTATATATACAGGTAATCCTCGAGATACGACTGTAATGGAACCTGCCCATTTCACTCACAAGTGGTGATGGCTGTTAAGTCAGATGGCCTTGCTTAACAACCTTCATCCCCTGCTCTCCCTGATGTGGCCATTAAATGAACACATGGGTTATTAAGCAGAGGTGGGGGAGGCTTTTAGAGGCCTAGCATAGGCCCAGACCTGCCTGCCCTGGGCCTTCCAATGCCTCCCTTCTCCCAATATATCTTGTGCTCTGCTTGCTGTCCCCTGAAGATCTCCATGTTTCTCATGGTGGGGACTGAGGCTAAGGCTTGCATCCCAGAAGTGGCCATCATTTTTTCCTCTGCTTTCACAAAGCCATGGGCAAGGGACAGACCGCTTGTTTCTTAATGCACAGCCTGACATATGGAGATCTTCAAAAGCTAAGGGTGCAGTGGATGATGGGTATGTGGAGAATAGATCCAAGGCCCATGTTGGTCATAATGGTGAATGTAGGGGGCTGCAATGGCCATAATGTCTAAATGGAGTCGTAAGTAGCTTTTTTTGGGGGGGGGGTATCTGTCATAACTTTGAACAGCCATTAAGTGACTATTCATATATAGAGAGCTACCATTAAATTTAAATAAAATCAGGTAATTCAGTTTTTGTCCTAGATATGCTCATTTTCTGCTATATACCCCCAGCATTTGGGCTGGTAAAGATCATTATGCTCTGTAAGAATTAGTTTAGTTGAAACAGGTTCTTGCTTCATTTGTAAAGAAATAATATGCAACTCTTAGTAGTAGGCTTTAAATATTGTTGTTCCTGCAGAAGCTACTTTCTTCTATGTTCCTATTGCAGTTGAAAGAATGAGAAATTAACTGCCTTTTAGTGGATTCTTGGTCTTTTTAGAGCTAGAATGGAATGATCCTACAATGTATTCCTGCCTTTAAAAAAATCATGAAATGCTCTGTAAGTAATAATGTAGGTAGTGGGAATAGGGGAGAATATTTTGAAAGTCTAGAATTTGTAAATTTTGCATAAAATCTATTGTTTAGTTTATTGTTTGATATATTCTGAGTAAAGATGAATGACTGTCTATGTATTAAGTATATTTTCTTTTTTTCGTTCTCTAAAACTGATGTGCATATATAAAATTTAAAAGATAGTCAAACAAATATGCGTCATTTTATTTTCAGACCTGTCTGGCATACATACTTTATAAAGACCTATTATTGTAAATTTATTTGTTTTTCTTTTGTGATCCAGCCCCTAACTGTCCTGGCATCATCCAGCAAATTTCAGGACAAAACAGGGACTTAACTACTCCTGCTTTAGTCACTACATAAGAATACCATAAATGTTTGCACATGTGATTATATTACTTTAAAATGCACAGAAATTACAGATGGTCACATATAAATAAAATATTAAATAAATAAACAGCACCAATCAGATTTGATGCCACTGGACTTCAATTGTAATAGTACAATTGTAATAGTAATTTTCAAATATATTGAGACTGGAGTTTTTGTAGTATTATGATTCCTTTGATTTTCTTCGTATGAAAATTCCAAAGAAGCTTTCTCAATTAGTATAAGTATAGCATTGAAAGAGAACATTTTAATTATCAAATCCAAGCTCTTAGTCCAAGCAGGAATTCAAATTCAATTGGAATCTGTTTTGCTGTAACTTAAGCTCATCATTCTGTGCTCTGGAATAAAGGAGAGAACAGATCTTGACTTTCTTCAATATGACATCCTTCCAGGTATTCGAAGGGTGCTATCATATCATGCTAAGTCATCTTTTTCCAAGGTTAAATGTTCACAGCCCATTCAGTCTCGTTTCATAAGTTTTAATTTCTATTTATCCACTTCAACATTTGTTCTATTTTTTTTCAGTGCCAGAACTGGATAGTGTATTCACGAAGAGGTCAGACTAACACAAAAAAGAGTGGAAAAGTTACTTCCCATGATTTACAAATTATCCTTTAAGTGGTGTGAAATAAAATTATATTTGCTTTTCATAGCCACTTCCCTATGTTAGCCAATGTTAAGTTTACAATAAATACTATTCCAAAATCTTTTCACAATTATTATTAGGCCAGATATATTCCATCTTAAGGGGTGCGATGGCTCAGAGGTTAAGAAGCTGAGCTTGTCAGCTGGATAACCAACAGCCTGGGTTTGAAACCCAAACACTGCATGGCAGGGTGAGCTCCCATTATTCACCCCAGCTCCTGCCAATCTAGCAGTTTGAAAACATGCAAATGTTAGTAGATAAATAGGTACTGCTTTGGTGGAAAGATTACTGCATTCCATATTTTCATGCTGGCCACATGATGACAGAAACATTTCTCAGATAACACAGGTTCCCCTAGCTGGGAATCAAATAAGCACTGCTCCCATGAGTCGGTTATGACTGGATAGGGAAATCTTTAAAATTTTTAATATTCCATTTTACACTTTTACACTTGATTTGTGTTTCTTATGTGAAGAGTTTTGTACATGTCTCTATTTAGTTCTGTTATAGGCAACCCATTACTTCCTAGCAAGATCATTTTGAATTGGATTTCTATCCAATAGGTTATTAGATATCCCACTCTATTTTGTGTCATTCCCAGTTAAAAGCATCTTTCTCCAAATAATTAATGTAAATATTGAAGAATAGAAGATCCAGGACTAACCATAGCTCTCTAATTTCATGAAGAACTACTGATGAGCATACTTGAATTATGTATTCTGAACCAGCATGTATCATCATGCCATCCAGTCCACACTTGCTGAAATATTTTGCCTAAAACAGAATGGATTATGACCTGTAGCCTGAAATCTATTGTTAGATTAATGTTGTCTGGATGTACTTTCCACTCACGATTTTCTATTTTTATTTCCCATGCCTATGATTTTTGTTCATTTTCAAACTTCTCTGAATTTTTTAAGGCCAAAGGGTGTGTGCTTCAGTCATACTCTGGAGACTAAAGTTTACTGCTACCCCTTGTGCCTATCATCTCCCATTATTTAAACAAACAACATACAAAATTTAACAACAGTTTCTCTTCAACCCAGAAATAACTACACTCTAATGTCAGATGAAACATAATATGCATATAAAATTGGATGTTTTTAAACTGATATAATGAAACTGTTATAACTTTCCAACAGTTTATCCCTTAGGAAAGGAATATTTCAATAACACTTGAATGGCTGGTTAAAATTTCCATTATACAAACAAAATGTGGCCAGGTTTGAACCTTTGGACAGATGATTTGTATTATCTATTCCAACTTCAGGAATATTTTCTCAAAACGTTTTCACCTGCAGTATCTATGACATCTTAGATTGGTTTGAAAGTTGACAATTTTTGATTTCAAGTAGAAAATGGTTTTCAATAAGCTTTATGCAGCTTTTTCTTCTTTTTGCATCATTCCAATACTATTGTCAAGGAAAGGCTTTTCCCCCTCAAGACAGATATATACACATCCATAAAAGATAATTTTTTAAAAATCACTTCTACAAGCATTAGAGCCAGAAATTTGCATTTTCAAGAGCAAATCTTTTACTGAATTAACATGGGCAAAACTTTGGGGGAGGACAGTAAAATTCAGATAACTGGTTCAGTCCTTTACCAATTTAAATGTACAATGAAACTTTTTGTATCGCGTTACTTATTAAACTAGTTCTCCAACTTAAACAAAAGCAAAGCATCACAAAAACAATTGTGCTTCCAATTTTCCTGAAACTAATTTTAAAAATGAAACCCTGGGCCAATTTTGTCCTTCCTCTTCATGGTATGTATTTCGCTTTTTTGCATTACAAGATAATGCAGAATTTGAACTGATTGTACAACTATCAAATTGACTGGGAACAGATTATTCCTACATATACAAAAGGAGGGGAACAAGAGCATCTGCAGATCAAGAAAACGGGACGAGCCAGCCAACTCCGCCGGCTCGGAGTTGGAAAGAGACAAAAAGAAACACGCGACACCGAGAGAAGATAAATGACAAGTGACCGGGAAGTTTGTCTGTGTTAAGCGGTACGGGTAGGTGGGTGGGTGTATTGGTTCGTTTAATTATGCACTACTGGCAATCGACCTCCTGATTTAGTACAACATGACACCTAAAACTAATCCACTACCCGCGAAAAAGATGCCAGCGGCTAAAAGCGTTTACAGTTCGTACTTGCTCAGTCGCTGGAACGCATGCGCATTTGGGCTGCTGACTTTTTCGCGTCGGTGGGTCTGTTGCTCGAAAGGTTGCTCTGGTGATGGTTGTTATGGCGATCGAAGACGCGGCGATCGAGGACCCTGAGGTCCTTCTCAAGTAAGAGTGGGAATCGCGCGTGTGGATGGAAAGGATCATTGGAGACTGAGAATAAGGTAGTTCAGAAAAGGACACGAAAGGAAGAAGCGGCTGAATCGGGGTAGGGAGGTGGATGGTGTGGAGAGCAAAGTTGAATTTTGCTTTCAGGAAAGTCAATTTCAAATGCGTTCATAATCCAGTTCGAATCCTGGGATGGACATGATTTACCATTGCCCTTTTCTGGGTTATTTTTTTCGACGGTCTAGATTAGAGTCTAGACTCTAGCCTAATCTACAGCCCTAGGATTTACAAGCGATAAATAGATCTTAGCTTAGCAGGCTTTGGGGGTCAACAAAGGTCTATTAAGCTTTGGCATGCCTTACTGGGCTTTTGGGACAATGTTACAAACTTTGAATGGATGTGATAACTCTAGAAGTTGTTGGGAGTGATTTGAAAGGAATGATAACAATAGAGTACATAATAATAGACCGGGTAATTTAAAGGTGAAAGGCACTTGACTCCCTAGCTGTCTAAAGAGCTGAAAATATTCAGTGATATTGTAATCAGAAACCAGCATTTGATAAAGGAAGGCCTTGCAGAATTGGCTAGTAGCTCCCTTTTTCTATTGTGATCTAATTCATATTTGCAAACTGCTGGATTCATTGCTGCAGCTATTTCCACATGTTGGAGGGAATCTCCAAATTAAATATAGACATTGGTTTATAAAATAGAAAAGGGAGTAAAATGTCTCAGCTCTCAATTTTAGACAGAATGAACGAATCCGTACTTGCTAAATAAAAAATGTTTCTCATATTTATTCTTTCTCATTCTCACTCCTACCTCAAAGCATTCTTTCTTCTATTATTTTTCTCTATTTTTTCTTTTTATTGTACATAGTTAGCAATGTTATTCCTAAGGCTCCTTTTATCCTTCAGAACATTCACCTCATTTTATCTTTGTTTTTGCTAAGCAAATGGACACATATCCAAACAAAGCCCTGTGCTGCAGCCACCCACCATTTTTATTTTGGAATGACTATGAGCTCTGAATATCTGTATAAGAAGGAAAGAAGAAAAAATTATAATTGCACCCCAGTTTAGTCTTATTTTTACAGCATGTCATTTTTTCTTATGATTTTCTAAAAAAATAATAATAAAGAGGTCTAGTGGGTACCAAGGAAGTATTTCTAGTCACACCAGAAATGGCTGACTGGTCCTATCCAAGGTTCTGTAGTAATCATCAGGTATATTGGAATTGTAATTCTCAGAATCACTATAATGTAATTGGTAGTGCCAATTAAATAGTACTTTCTTTACATATTTGCTGAGGAAGATATAATTTCATATACAGGACAATATTTAAATAAAAAACCTTGGGAATTAATGCTGCCCAATTTATGGAGAGTTTATAGCTTATATGAGTTTTTAACTAATGTGACAAAATTGGATTGATAAGAGAGTAGGTGGCGGTAATGGTGTCTTAATTTTTGTGGTGTTTTAATGTAAAATCTGACAGGTGAGAAATTGGGAAAGATATAAGATCATAAGAAGTTCTCAGTTTAGAAGAATTCTCATCTTCATGTCATACTCCAAATGTCCAGGGCGTACTGGATTGCCCCTGACAGTACTGCGATGGCTTCAGAGTCTTGACCTCACTTTTTCACCAAGGAACTTCCGTAGGTAAGACAAATAATTCAAGAAGACGATTGGTATTATTTCTCTTCCTCTTGAAAGCTTTCCTTGTTCTTGATCAGATGGCCAAGGATCTGATGGTACTTGACAGATTCTGTAGAAATAGAAAATATATTTTAAATGCCAGGTTTTGTTTTTTTTAAAAAAAAATCCAAAATGGCTTACAGGGTTGTTTGTTAGAAATAGCCAATTTCAACAAAATACACATATGCTACATACAGTAGTTGTTGTCTGACTTCAATATATTTTCTATTTTTCACAAAGAATCTCATAATCTTATAGCTTGCATTCAATGTCATTGTATGCATGAACCATAGTTGAGTTTTTGTTTGTTTACTTGGAAATTTATTTAACTAATTATCAAATCTCTACAAGTTGGCTATTTAAAAAAGCAGCTTTTCTTTAAAATGTGTGACTTAAGACCTGAGACTTGTTATGTTTTAAGGCAATTTGTATATTTATTGAAACCATTGTATATTTATTGAAAAACTGACCTCAGAATGAATTTTCAGGAAGCTAAGCAGTGGCAATTAGAGATGATATAAATATTAAATGCAACTATACAAGAAAGGAAGGTTAAAAAAACAAAGGCAATATTTACTAGTGGTGAATTCATTCAGTCTGCAGTCTTGATATTGGCTCTTAATGATAAAGTTAATTATTGCAAAGCTTGGCCTAATTTGTTTAGCTTTCCTACATCTTTTTCTTTTGATTTTTTTGTATTACCTTTCCTGATGTGGAATCCTCGAGTTATTGAATGTTTGCAGAGTTTTAAAAAGTTTAAGTTGATCCTCAATAAAGGTATTGACCAAGTATTGATTTGAGATTCTTTTTGCTTATAGACCAGTGTAACTACTTTTACTTTTTATGTTCTCATTGGAATCATACCTGTAGGGAAAGTCAAGCCAGGTCCATTTGATTTACTTGAACGTATTTATCCATTTTATCATTCTTTCTTTTCCTTACAATAGATTTCTTTCCTTCAAATTAAACCCTGTATCTGTATTGAACTGATTCCAGATGAATGCAGGTCTAAACTCTAAAGACAAAGGATGAACTTTCAGGAGACACAGAAAAGGCTCGGGTAATGAGCCAATTGGTCAGCTCCTATTTATAAGCAATGGATCAAAACTCAAGTTGATCTGGGGGGGGAAAATGGACCTTGCACTTTGAGGAAATAGTAGGAAGGAAAAAAATGGGAATTGGTTCTATTATACGATTATTATCATTCAATTCTTGTTTTTTTATCCTTTTTCAGGAAGGGAAATTTGAATTTGATGTTGCATAACAAAATTGTTTTATTTATCTGAGATATGAGGACAACAATGGGGAAGGTTCTACATTTAGGCAAGAAAAACCAAATGCACAAGTACAGCATAGGTGGCACCATGCTCAATAGTAATAACTGTGAGAGGGACCTCGGAGTCCTAGTAGACAATCACCTAAATATGAGCCAGCAGTGTTCTGCAGCTGCCAAAAAGGCCAACACAGTACTAGGCTGCATTAACAGAGGGATAGAATCAAGATCTCGTGAAGTATTAATACCACTTTACAATGCCTTGGTAAGGCCACACTTGGAATCCTGCATCCAGTTTTGGTCACCACGATGTAAAAAAGATGTTGAGACTCTAGAAAGAGTACAGAGAAGAGCAACAAAGATGATTAGGGGACTGGAGGCTAAAACATATAAGGAATGGTTGCTAGAATTGGGTATGTCTAGTCTAATGACAAGAAGGACAAGGGGGGACATGATAGCAGTATTCCAATATCTCAGGGGCTGCCATAAAGAAGAAGGAATCAAGCTATTTTCCAAAGCACCTGAAGGCAGGACAAGAAGCAACGGGTGGAAACTAATCAAGGAGAGAAGCAACCTAGAACTAAGGAGAAACTTCCTGACAGTGAGAACAATTAATCAGTGGAAAAACCTGCCTCCAGAAGCAGTAAATGCTCCAACACTGGAAGTTTTTAAGAAGAGACTGGACAGCCATTTGTCCGAAATGGTGTAGGGTTTCCTGCCTGAGCAGGGGGTTGGACTAGATGACCTCCAAGGTCCCTTCCAACTTTACTACTACTACTACTACTTACTACTACTATTATTATTATTATTATTATTATTATTATTATTATTATTATTATTATTATTATGGATTTTTATTAGGCCTTTTTCTAAAAGGAAGTATTTTGTTGTTGTTCAGTCGCTAAGTCATGTCCGACTCTTTGTGACCCCATAGACCACAGCATACCAGGCCTCCCTGTCCTCCACTCTCTCCCCAAGTCCCCCCAAACTAACGCCCACTGTGTTGATGAATCTATCTAACCATTCATCCTCTATTGTCCTCTTCTCCTCATCTTCAATGTTTCCCAACATCAGGGTTTTTTACGAAGACTCCTCTCTTCTCATTTGGTGGTTAAAGTATTTGAGCTTCAGCTCCAGTATCTGTCCTTTCAAAGAATAGTCAAGGTTGATTTTCTTTAGGAAAAGGAAGTATAACTAAGTATAAAAATCTAACAAGTCACAAAAACACCACCATCCTTCTTAAGTAAGAATCTAGGGAATGACATAATTAAATTAAGACAAATCCTATAAAAGCTAGTTTTTCATTCAATTTTTTAATTTATATTTTTATTTCGAATAGGGATTTTTCAAATGGCTACCTTATCGCTGAAATATTCTCTCGGTACTTCCCAGAAGACATTCATATGCATTCCTTTGTAAATGGAACCTCCCTAAGTATCAAACTTAGCAACTGGGCACTGCTTGGAAAGGTGAATAATAAATGCAATTATGAATCTTCTATAAATTTTAATGCATTTTAAAAGTTACAATAAAATGAGGGCTTGCTTCTTATTTAAATTATTGCCAATTCATCAGTATACAGTCAATAGTCAAATAATTTATGCTATTTTTCAAGTGGAATATAGAAATGGTATTTATAGTGACTTCAGGGAAATATTACATATTTATATTTTTAATAGTTGTGTCTTTCCAGTTCTGTTATTTAGATATTATGTCAGGCATCATTGTCTACACTGATGACAATTGTTGCATTACATAAAGTAAGCTGTTTATCCCTTTATGATAAATAACTGACAATAAGAAAATGAATTCATGTATTTTCCTTTTTATTAAAGTTTTTTACAAAAAGAAACCTGAAGCCTCCACGAGAGCTAATTGATGGGACAATTCATTGTAAACTAGGAGCTGCAGAAATATTTGTACAAGATATTTATACAATGCTGACAAACAGTTGGTATGTTTCTTCAGTACTATATTTGAATGTTGCATGTTAATACCTAAATGTTAGTATTAAATAACACAGAAGACAATTCCTTCCTTTAGGCTCACAATCCACTATTATAATTTTTCTCAGGACAAAATTAAGTTAGATGGAAAGAAAAAAAAACACAAATAAATGTAGTCATTGATTTGTGAATATATAGAAATTCAAGTTAATTTGAGGAAGTTTCAGTTTAAGAATATGCATAGAAGCACACAGGCAGCTTAGCATTGTTTTATTCCTTGATTAGTGAAAAAAACTGATTATGCTTTCTTTTTCTCTTGTAGTATAAAACATATTCAAGATGAAGAGATTGATTTTACTGATCGTATTTACCAGGACAACTTACCACTGGTTGCTAGATCAACTGCTTCAAGGGCTATTAAAAACAATATCAGTATGACAGAAATAATGGCAGAACCTGATATTTATAAAAACAAACAGAAAATAAATGCCATCCTTGACATACATAGGCAGCGAAGGTTAATGGAGAGGGAACAACATCCATGTAAGTATTTTTCTCAGAACATCTTTTTGAATAATATAAGGATATTTCCCTGTCTGTGTAACTTAATAGCTGCACTTTTCAATCTCACCTTGAAAGGACTTTCCATGGTTTGTACTTTATCCAGAATCAATCTGATAAGAACTAAAAAAGAGAGGTACAGGACTACCTGCTGGCAGGAGAACTAGTTTGCTTTTCATCTCTATACTACTAAAACTCTTGTGTCTGTTTGAAACTTTGTAAACTTCAATTCTGTGAAATGATACATAATAAGACAAAATGTTTTCAAGAAAAGTAGCTCAAATAGGCTAGCTTACAGAACTCTGGGACCCAATTTTATTCTCTCAAGAAATTTTCTTGAGAGAGTAAAATTTGGGGATATTTTTGCTGCTTCAGCTCTGCCACCGTGCTGCTGCAGTTGGCTGTGGGCACGTGATTCCCATTTTGAGTGTTTCCTGATGGCTTTCCACAAGTCGGTGGAGCATTGTTGATGCTCCTTGCCATTTTCCAATTAGCAAATTTTTTCCTTATGGGAAGATTGCATGGAAAAAGTCAATAGAGAAATGATGCACACGCTGCCAGTCTCTCTGAGCCTGCACCACACTGGCCACTCATGCGCTGCCTTGCTCCCAACCTTACCTGGCAACAGCCACTTACCAGCCTTCTGGCAAGGGAAGGGAGGGAGGAACTGGAAGGAAGTTTTCCAATGTTCCTTGCCAGCTACCCACAAAGAAAATCAATGGGGAGGTTGGAAGTCACTCCTGCTCTGATTTTTTTGCCCATCTGTGATCATTTTGTTTTTCAGTTTAGATAATGAAATATTTCTGAAACCATGGAACAACAGGGCACGGGATTTTTAGTTTGTTAGTTTTGTTTTGAGAAGCTTCACCTTTGTAATGGAAAATATTTAATATTGATTAGTTGAATATTTATCTGCATTGTTAGATTGCTTTCTATCTTTTTTTAATCTCTATTAGTCTTTTTTATTAGTTTTTAACTGTTTTAACTGTTTGATTGTTTTGCAATTAATGTTGTTTTCTATCTTAAAGTCCAGTAAAAAGAGCAGATCATAACTAAAAATAGTCATTGTGTATATACTGTAGACTTGCTTTATTTTAAAATTTGAATTGATTTATGATAAGAGCTCTCAGAATATCAATGTCTGCATAATCTCAAGCTATATCCTTTTTAATTGTCTGTTTAATGAAACATTTTCTTTAATAATCACAAATAGAATTTAATTTAATAATTTCTCAGTGAGGTGGGTGGTTTAGAAATATAAATAAATACATTTTATAAATATAGCTGGCATATAATATACTTGTTGCTTAAGATAAATGACTGTTGATTTATAGCACGGTTTGGTATTAAATCAGCACTGGGAGAACTTGCCATTGATCGCTCTTCTATTTTGGCTCGTTCGTTCGGTACAACTAATCTTCCAAAGGAAAAATCTGTTCCTGTGCCAAATAGTAAGTATTCTTTTTCTGATTTGAAAGTCAAAGGTTACAGTTCTATTCAATGGGCTAGATAAATTTAAAAAATACTTGTTTAGGAATAAGTTATATTGAAATAGTTGTGACTGAATATTCATGGCTTGATTCAAGCGTATGTCTTTTTTCCTTTCAGGCATTTAACCAAATTGTAACTTCTGTTAACGGTGTAACAAAACTTTGGACAGTATATACTCCACTTTAGTTTTTTGGTATAATTCATCTCCCCATTTCTTAATTCTGTCTTTCCCTCTCTGTACCGGTCTCTTATTTATCTACTTTTGTTCATTCTATACTTATCATGCCCTTTTTTTCCCTTTCTAGAATGTTTATTTTCCTACCAATTGTGCCATATTTTTCTTTCATATTTTTATTTAATTTACAATTAGTTGCTTTTCATCTTTTTTTCTCTCTGATAGCCATTTAGGAAATGTCTAGGCATTTATTTCCCCTATATTGTCTCTTCTGAGTCTTTTTCTTGGGGCAGTGTTGAAAACCGAGGAAAAGAGTGAGTTCCTCCACTGCCTGTATGTTAGTCATCCTCTGTTGGCATCAGAGTAGGGGGTGTTATTTGGACATAATGGCTGTTATTGCCAAAAGCATCTGCAACCTCTTTGTGTTCATCCCTTACTTCTCTGGGTAGCACAAGAAAGAGAAAAATACAGTTGCCCCTTTCATAATGTCAGAATTGTCTTCTGAATATCCTTTCAGGCAGCACGAAAGGTTAAAATGGAAGCTAGTTTTTTGAGTTTTTTTATTAATATTTTGCTGCATTTTATATTCTCTCTTACTAATGTTCTTAGAGTGAAATGTACCTGAATGTATTTATTAAAATTATGTCCTACATCTTTATTTTTTAACAATATTTAGCATATTTCAATGAGCCAAATTTGAGTTTACTTGGATTGAGTTGAAAATAACTGGAAACTGATATATTGTTGAAAATTTATGCCTTGTTTAATTTTCTCAAGTATTTACAGGTAGAGGAATCTTAACTATTTTAATAACTCACATTTCTAAAAAATGTTTTAGAAGCTAAAACAATTTTTATATGCTATAAATTAATTGTGTGCTTGACCACTCTCTTAGGTGTAGCATCCACACAAATCAGAGGCAAAACAGATGTTCATTTCAAAACTATTCAAGTGAAACAAGCTAAGAAATTCCCATTTGATGTGAACATGAATACTGAAGCTTCAGGTACACATTTTAAAGAACTATAGAGAAGAAATTCAGAAATACAAAAGAAGATTTATAATCAAATTTGAGGCCTATATTGAGGAACATGAGCCTTACAGATAAGCCAGTAAAGAAATAATACTGACATCAAAGACCTATTGCTAACATATTTGCACAAGCATAAGAAAATGCAATAAAATCAGATAATTTTATCCATTCTATTACTGGAAGTTTACCTCCTTGTCATGCTGTAATGCAAATTTTTATTATACCAGTAATGCAGAACCTAGAACTCTTAGTCAATATAATTTTAATAAAGTGGATCAGCTCCAGTCTCATTGTTAAGTGTTTTCTTAATCGTTTATAAACAATGTAAAATATTCAGTATAGCTAAACATATACGTTTGAGGACACTTATAAATTGATGGAAATCAATGGATCATAATGTTAAAATATTTCAACTTCTTATCAACCAAGGAAGCTTCTTAGAATGTATCTGTCAGAACTTTAGAACCAGTGAAATTAAACTCTTTTTTGTATCTTACATTAGTACACAACATTAATCCACCAATGGAAATATTAGATTGAATGGACTGGAGAACATTTTGAAAACTCTGTTTTCTCCCACTTAACAGTAGGGAGGACAAGAGAGTTTTAATGAGCCTTTGATTGGGAGAAAGCACATCTTTCTTACCAGTTATGAGACTGAAAAGCAGTAGGAGCACAATTTAAAAATGCAAGAAAAAACTCGGCTAAGCTTTTTTAAAATCCAAAACATATTCCCATGGTAAAACCATTTTCTTATTACTGAGGGTCTGATATTTATTACTATTATTATCCTTCATCTATTGTAGAAAAGGAATCTTCACAGCTCCATTTCCTACAGTAGAGGATATCTGAAAACTGGGCATAATCAAAATGTTCTCTAGTCTAGGAGAGTAAGCAAATATAATTCTTGAAGAACTTAAATTCCTAACACAAGACCTGCTACATTTTGATTATGTGATCATAGAAATCTTATGATTTACTTCATATAATACAGACAGTCGTATTATAATGCCTCCAAATCAAAACATTGAAATGAGAAAACTTGTTAAACAATTAGAGGCTAGCAAATTTACACATGCATTAACATGTTAATGCATGTGTAAATTTGCAAGGAAACTGTTCACTTCATAATTTAATATAGAACTGTGTGCTGTCAAATCTGTTCATCAGGAAAAAGAATGCTCATAGTTTCTGCCTACTATTCAGTTTCTAAATGCTCTGAAACACTTTTAAAAGTCTTGGGAAGAAAGAAAAAAAGGGGGAAGAAAATTAATCCCAAATCTGAAACATATACATTTAATAATCTTACATGTATACTGATTTATTGCTAAAAATATAAGAACAAGTGGTAGCTAATTCCATTTCAGGGATTGTTGTAAATCTTTCAGACCTACTTATTAAAACAAGAGAACTCCAGTTTACAGGATATTATTTCTCTACAGAATAACTGGTATAATAATGATGATTCATTATAAGATCTTACTATCATTAAAATTATTTTTTTCCTTCATGCTATAAGAAAATGTTTATTGTTTGGGAGAGGTGGGGGATCCTCTAGAAACATGTAAAAATAATTTTTGGATCTCAGGCCTTTCATAAATAGAAGTAGCTCTTTCCTTGCGAGACAAGATACAAATAGGACAGGACTAGAACTCGGATCTCCTGGTTTCTAGGCCAGCACCTGAACCACTACATCAAATTGGTTAACTGTATATAAAACAGAATACCATACTTTACAAAATGTGAAGGAACTAAGTTGAAAAAAGTAAAATTACAAACTATAGATTTATTCTTCTAATATTATGCTTTTAATAGTCCTTTTATCTTAGCTAAAACTAGAAATACAATGAAACTAACTGTTTTCTGGAGATTAGTCTCAAATTCCTACAAAGGAAATTCTAGAACAAAAGGACAAACAAATCAAAGGTAGAAAAAATATGTCGATAACAAGAAGCAGGGTTTGCTGAATGAAAAGTTTAATGATCTGGAAACATAACAAAACAAAATAACCATTGCATATCATTACTGTAATACATCTTTCTAGGGAATGCTCATGAAAGTCAAAGCTTTCTCTGTGTTCAATACAGAAGCTGAAAAGAAAAACATCCAATGTGCAAAAAAGCACATTTATCTACTTGCTGTTAAATGTCTTTCAGTATTCAATTTCAGGAAGGAGCTTCACACACATTCACTATGGAAAAGCAACTGATCTTAGCAGAGATTGTGTTTCACCTTCACAGCCAAAATGCTTTTGGTAAGCTGCACTCTGAATCCCAATATCCTAATAATACAGGAAATGTAGAAATTGTACCTAAATAAGAGGTAGTGGTAATAACCTGAACCTTGATTATATATGTTCAGAAAAAAAGACTTATTTAAAACAAACCTAATTTATTTATATGTTGGAACTTTAAATGCCATGTTTACAAACACTAAAATGAAAATAATTAATTTGTGGTAAATTCACATAGCACATTTTGGTACAATCAATAGTTTATTTAAAAGAGATCTATTGGAAAATAAATTTTAGAAATATGCTTAATCATTTAAAATAAAGGATGTCAAATGCAAATCCAAATATTCAAAATATATTTTAAAAACATTCTTATGCTGAGTCTGAGCTAAGTATTCCAAAATACCTGCTAATCAATTTACTACACAACTATTAGATTTACACACGTTATTAATTTATTATAAATATGAAAACACAATCCATCACGTATCACAGCTGCAAAATTTCTACTTGTTACAATGAATCTTCTTTCCAAGACAGCACTTGTTAGGCTATGTCCTTAATTTCAACTAGGAGGAGATAAATACACAAACTTTATTTAAAATATGTTTCCTCTAAGGCACGGGTCGGCAACACGCGGCTCTGGAGCCACATGCGGCTCTTTCACCGTCTCCTGCGGCTCCCTGTCCTCAGCCACCATGTGCAATCTGAAAAAAAAGTGGGACTAAAAAAGTTCAACCAATCAATTCAAGCTTCTCACGAAGTTTGAATTGATTGGTTGAATTTCTTTGGTTTGTGGTCTACCCACAAACCTCTTTCCTTCTTCGGACTGCACATGGTGGCAGCAGAGGAAGAGCTACCAGGATTGCTGGAAAGGTGTCCATTTGCCGTCCTCCGGAGGCAGAACCTAGGTAAGAAGCCGCGGGTGGCCAGTCTCGGGGTGCCTCTTCCCTGCCTGGTGGGTCTCCCCTCTCCCTGCGCCGCCACCACCTGTTAGTCCGGGGGGGTCACCGGGAGTCTCGGTAGCTTCCTCTCTCCACCCACACCTTTCGGCCATCTCGCGGGCAGTGGATCTCCGTGACCTCTTTTGAGAGATTCCCCCGTGGTGCCTGCCTGGCCCTTTCCCCACCTGCTGTGCGGTGCCTCTTGGCCGTCCTCCCGCTGCCATTGCCGCCACTGCCTGTCGTGCTGGGCGAGGCTGGAGAGGCAGCAGCGGCCGGGTAGCCATGCCCCTTCTCCATCTTCCCACTGTCGCCACCGCCACTGCTGCCAGTCGCGTTCAGCGAGGCCGGAGAGGTGGCGGCGACTGGGCAGCCGCGCCCCTTTGCCGTCCTCCCACTGCCACCGCTACTGCTGATCGCGAGAATTTGTTGACGCCCGGTTGGAGCATCACACTGAACTGCTGCTGCATGAAGCTTGCCTGGCTGCCATGGGGCTCTCCGCCGCCCGGCCCCACCTTGACCCCATCGGTGGTGCCCACCTCAGCTGCTTTTGGGGAGCCGCCACCTTCAGTGCTGCAGGAGGAGACCTTGGGCTGTGAGGGCAGCGGGGCCGGCGGTGGATCGGGACCCCCCTTGTCCCCACAGTGGCACTCCCCATTGCCACTGCAGCCGCCCATGGTGCACCCATGCTGCAGGGAGAGCAGCATCCCTTGGCGCCCTTCTCTTGCAACGGCGAAGTGGCTGAGGATGTGGCAAGGGTGGCAGCCGGGCTGGGGGTAGCGGGGACCCTCAACGCTGCAGTGGCTGCCGCCGTGCTGCCACCAGAGCCGTTACCTCCCGTCCCGCTCCTCCTCCCTGCCCCTTTGGCGCCGTCTGCCTTTCATTCTCTTTCTCTCTCCTCACCTGGAGACAGAGAGAGAGAAAGAGAGAGGGAAAGAGAAAGAGAGGAAAGAGAAAGAGAGAGAAAAAAGAGAGAGGAAAGAAAGAGAGAGAAGAAAGAGAAAGAGTGGAAAAAGAGAGAGAAAGAGAGGAAAGAGAAAGGAAAAAGGGACAGAAAGAGGGAGAAGAAAGAGAGAGGGGGAGAGGAAAGAGAAAGAGGGGGAGGAGAGGAAAGAGAAAGAGAGAAAAGAGGGAATGGGAGAGAGAGGAAAGAGAAAGGAAAGAAGAAAGGAAAGAGAGAAAAAAGAGGAAAGAGAAAAAAGAGGGGGAGAGGAAAGAGAAAGAGAAAGAGGGGGAGAGGAAAGAGGAAAGAGAGAGAAAGAGGGAGAGGGAGAGAGGAAAGAGGGAGAGGAAAGAGAAAAAGAGAGGAAAGAAAGAGGGAGAGGAAAAAGAGGGAGAGAGGAAAGAGAAAGAGGAAAGAGAGAGAGACAACAGAGAGAGAGAGAGAGAGAGAGAGAGAGACCCTTTTGATATCTAAAATGAAGATAACACTGCATATATCCTTTTTTACCTTTATTTTATATATATAGTGATTTTTTATAAAAAAAAAAAAAACAAGGTGCCGGAATTCACACACGTCATACCCTACAAGGTTCCATCCAAAAAAGGTGCCGGAACTCCGTTCTGGGCGTTCTATGACAAAAAAAGCCCTGTACACACACACACACACACACACACACAATGTAAAAAAGGATATATGCAGTGTTATCTTCATTTTAGATATCAAAAGTGTTTTGCGGCTCCCAGCGTTTCCTTTTCGGTGGGAAACAGGTCCAAGTGGCTCTTTGAGTGTTTTGGGTTGCCTATCCCTGCTCTAAGGAATAATTCAAAGCATAAATTGCTATTGCATGACCCAGCAATGTGCTTCACAAGAGTGTTCACAAATACCTAATTTTAATCTTCTAAAAGCACATGGCTGCCAATGATATATGAAATTCTCTTTGGGTTATCAATTTTAATATAAAAATTAAATTTATAATTCACAAAGTTCCTAAAACTGTTCAAGAAAATATCAACCTCAAATCGTTCCACTAATAAAATAAAAGCAACTATCATTATTCATAGAAAGATTTCTTTATCAGAATGGGTTGAGCCGTATTCCTGTCCCCAGTGGAGAGAAAGGATTCACTTTTGCCCACATCAATGCATCGCTGAGTGAAATTGTTGACTTTCCATCTTCAAGGAAAAATACAGGACCCTAAACAATAAGACATAAACAAATTATACTTTTTGTATTATAATACATTAAAATAAGTATATATGCACTTACACTTACATGTTTAGAAGAAATAATCATTAAAGCAAAAAAGTTTAGATATTAAATAATTTATTGTTTATGCCTGGAGACATGATAATTTATGCTAACATATATATCTTCTTTCTGTATTTATCATGCCTCAGAGTCTTGCTCCCATGAGCACATTTTGAATGAACAAGTGAAGAAGGACGGAAATAAAGCCAAGCAAATTTCATGAACGTTTGTTCATAGAATTGAAATTCTGTGTTTTCATTGTAAGGAAACAAGGGGACAAGATATTTGTTCCCTGAAATTAAGTAAGAGAGATATTACTGCACTTATTCCCTTAACAACAATCACCTTCAAATATAGAGTATTCCCCTTCTGGGATAATTTTTAACTTTTTCAAGATAATCTTATAACAATTATCTGTAATGTTTGAAGCAGGTAGGTAATTGACAGAACTCATATAGATTTAAGGGGAAATATTGCAATGGCAATGATAGAGAAGATGCATTTCTTAGGTCCCACATTTTTTAACAGATGGGACCTGAAGAAACAGGTAAAGCTTAGTAGTTGTCAACTAGCAGCACCTTGAATTCCAATCAAGTCACGGATAAGCACTGCAATTCATACAGCAGAGATGTTACATGGGGATAATAGGGTACACATCTCACTGCTCATCCTATCATATTCTGGACCAACTATACCTTCCGAGTGGCCTCCAAGGAAGCTCTATGCAGAGCACATTGCAGTGGTCCACATGCAAAGTGATTAAAGTGTGAGTGACTGAGTAAAACCTCCTAGGAAAAGGTAGAAATGCAAACAAGAGGTTTCCAGTCCACAACTGCCATCTGCTCCTCAAAAAAGAAAAAAAAAGAAAATCCAAACTGCATATCAGATCTGTCTGAGGAAATATATCCCTGCCAAGAACCAAATGATTCATCCATGCACAGCCACTTAGTCTAGAGATGTGTTTCAGCCTCTTCCTCATCTAGACCCAACTATCTCCAGACACTAAAATACTACTACTTTGGATACTATCCTTGCAAGGGATTCAAAAAACGTAAATTGGAATAATATTCTGGGGAAGCACCAGTGTGTAAGCAATTTTCCATTTGTGTTACTGTTGGATATAACCAGAAATACTGATATTTGCAAGTTCTTACAGAATGTAGTCCAGTTCTGTTATCCAATACCTGTATTTTTAATCCTGTCAAACAAGAGATATGAACATCTGAATGACTAGGAAAGTTAGATCCAGAAACATAATTTGTTCCTATGGTTACTTGAAGAGGCTCTTCTTTAATTCGTGATAGCATTGTTGTATAAATCTGTTGTTGCAATTCAGATGGCAGTATCTCTGGTAATTCATCAGAAGACCTATAAAATGTAGGCATGCTAGTATTTGTAAGAATAAACAGTAATTTTCACAATTGAAAATAGTATTCTAAAAATGCCATGCAATTTTTCTATACAAAGCAAAATGTCATAAATTCAAACACTTACTTGTTTAATGATTGGCTACAAGCTCTCCAAGCATCTAGTTCCTCAGAGAGTTGCTCAATTTTCAGGGGTACACATACTTCCCTTCTTTTTAAAAGCTGGCTGGAAAAAAATATAGAGTAACACAAGATAGTTCCGTATAGATTACACTCCATTCCATATGGATCAATATACATTTTATATGGATAGTGATCCATGGAGAGCAATATATAGTCAATATGGATTAATACCTATCATCGTCCAGATAGTTTAAATGTAAAATGTTTAGAACCTAAACTATGATGATTTTTGCCAATTCTTCTCAACCGAGTGACCTCAGGCTGTTCCTGGGATAAAGAAATTCTGATACAACATATTGGAAAGTACAGAGTTGGAGAAGGTTTGTCTATGCTCTTGCTTCAATTTCTACCTAATGTAAAAGTGAGGGGTTTGATACCAATACAAATACAATTTAAAACAACTGTGAACAACAATTGAACAAATGTCATTCTTGTAGTTAAACTGCATTTTCCATTAGGAAAACTAGTTATATTTCAAGGGAATTTAGACACTGATCAAATACTAATGACAGTCACAAATTCTCCACAGAGATGTGAAAAATAAGGACATTCAGAATGACAGATTTTAGGGGAAAAAAAGAAAAAGAAATACAACTCTCATAATTCCTAGAAAGACTTTCACTTAAGTTATTACAGAAGAATTACCTTGTATATTCATAAAGAGCTGGTACAATGCTGATATATTGTCTTCTAATAGCCAGTAAAGCCCCAATGTAGCCACTTAATATTAACAATTCATTTCTAAATCTGGGGAAAAAAATCATTATTTTTCCTAATTCGTATTGCATACATGTATATGTCTTATTCACATTAGAAATATAAGAGATGTGCAAAACTTTTAAACAAGATCTTTTAAAAGCAGACAAATGAGCAAAAGCAAATAGGTCATAAAAGGAAGTCATTATATAAAAAAGTTAAGCACATAGAAACAAATATACTTAGATAGATAAATAACCTTTATTGTCATTTGTGAGTACTGTAGGCACAACGGCACACATCAAAAATGAAATTTAGTTGCCCGCTTTCAAAGTGAAACATATACATGACACACACCTAAACATACTATGTACAACAGATGTATAGATCCACATCCCTACATATACATAACAAATAAATATTAAATACTGTCCATCTTGAATATATAATGGAAAGAGGAAGCTTGAAAGTTCACAAGGTTAATGCTGTATGGAATGAAATTGTGACTGAATCTGGATGTTCTGCTATGGATACCATGAAGCCTCCTCCCAGAAGGCAACAAGGAAAACAGGCCGTGAAGAGGATATGTAGTGTCCCAGATAATCTCATGGACCCTGCTCAAGCAACGCTTCTGTGCTATGTCCTGGATGGGAGGGAGGAAACTGTCAATGATCTTTTTGGCCATCCTCACCACTCTCTGCACCATCTTCCTGTCTGAAGCAGTGATGCTTCCAAACCAGATTGTGATGCTGTATGACAGGATGCTATCAATTGTCCCCCTGTAGAAAGTGGTCAGGACAGGGGAAGGAAGATGTGCTTTTCTCATGCGATGCAGAAAATGTTTCTCACTGTTGAGTGACCAAGTCAGCCTACTTGTTAGCTGCACACCCAGGAATTTGATGTTGGTAACCATCTCCACAGGTGAATCATTAATGCACACAGAAGTGTGGCTGTGCCTTTTCTGAAATCGACAATGATCTCTTTGGTTTTTCCGGTATTTAAAACTAGGCTATTTTCCTTACACCAGTTCACCAACCCCTCAACCTTCTTGCGGTAAGCTTCCACCTTGTCATCCTGAATAAGGCCCACTACTGTTGTATCATCTACAAACTTCACAATATGGTTGTTGTTGGTGATTAGAATATATTTTCTTCCATTGAAAAAGAACAACCCCAAACTAACCTATTTTTATGCTACTTTAAGGACATCTTTTTAAATGCAGCTTTGACATTTTCATGTATTGGAGCTAATTCTGAAATAATACCATTTCCTAATTTCTTAGAACAACGCTTTTAGTAATCTCTCATGCCTGGTACAACCAAAATTTAGTAAAGACAGTTCTCAAGGTTTGAGGACATAATTCAACATTATATTAACATCTTTATTATTTTGGGATTTCCCCATAAATTTACTTCTGTACGTTTCATGCTATTCCCAAAAAATAGCAATTGTCAAGTCCAGATCATATGATATGATATGATATGTGATATGATATATGATATAGAATAGAATAGAATTCTTTATTGACCAAGTGTGATTGGACACACAAGGAATTTGTCTCCGATGCATAAGCTCTCAGTGTACATACAAGTAATAGTGATAAATCATGATCATAAACAACATAAAAATACATTAATAATAAATCGTAAAATACAACAATTAGTGATAGTCATAGAATACTAGCTAAGCAAACATAAATCATACTAGGATACTAAAACAATATAAATTGTAATATACAAGCAACAAAGTTATAGTCATAAGAAGATAAGGATAGGTAATAGGAAAAATGAGGAGAATCATAGTAATACAGATTTGACAGTGTAGTTAGTAGTTTGACAGTGTTGTAGGAATTAGTTAAGCAAAGTGACAACATGGGGGGGAGGGAACTGTCCTTATGTGAAGTTGTTCTGGTGTGCAATGCCCTGTAGTGTCATCTTGAGGGAAGAAGTTGAAACAGTTTATGTCCAGGATGTGAGGGGTCTGTAGATATTTTCATAGCCCTTTTTCTTGCTCATGCAGTATACAGATCCTCAATGGAAGGCAGGCTGATAGCAATAGTTTTTTCTGCAGTTCTAACTATTCATTGAAGTCTATGTCTGTCTTGTTTGGTTGCAGATCCAAACCAGACAGTTATAGAGATACAAATGACAGATTCAATCATTCCTTTGTAGAACTGTATCAGCAGTTCCTTGGGCAGTCCGAGCTTTCTGAGTTGGTGCAGGAAGAACAATCTTTGTTGTGCTTTTTTGATGACATTTTTGATGTTAGGTGACTGTTATGTCCTGAGCCTGTGAAAGCAGGCTCGGGGCATTGCAACGGTCCCGGGCAGGTGCAAGCTGCCCGGGACCAGACTGGCTATCGCCAGCACTCGCGCGCATGCGCAAGTGCAAGCGCGCCAAATGTTGCAGTTTAGCCCAGGAATCGCCTATAAAAGGGGCAGGGAGATTTGGGCGTTGTCGGCGTCTTGTAACCAGTATGCTGAACAGAAATAAAGAGGTTCCTGAGAACTACAACTGCTTCTCGTGTTATTGCCATTTCGCGAAGGACTTAACACTGGCAACGAGGATGGGATTGCCTTACATCGACTGAAGACAGGTGTAAGCTTACCCTAGAGTCCTGAGCAGTAGGAACGGCATCAACTCAGCAGCTGCCCGCCAATCCAGCGAACATCAGGGGTAGGCTGGCTGATAGACCCTTCCTTTTCTACAAAAATGGCAAAAGTTGGAAGACTTTCAGAATTCGACGTCTCGCATCCGGAAAGATGGGAGTCCTACGTAGCCAGGGTGGAAAACTATCTTAAAGTCAATCAAGTAAGAGAAGATAGTTTAAAAGCCACCACCCTGCTGTGCGTTTGCAGTCAAGATGCATTCGAAATCGCTGAAAACATAGCAGCACCTGTACCTCTAGAATCTGTTAGCTACACAGATCTCAAAAAACTACTAAAGGAACACTTCCAGCCCAAGTTGTCCGTCATCACTTGGCGCCACACCTTCGAACAGAGGGATCAGCGACCCGGAGAATCAGCCAAAGAATACATTGCTGCGCTGAGAAAAGCCGCTAAACACTGCGAGTTCAAGGATCTAGAAGAACGGCTGAGAGACAGATTTGTATGCGGACTGAGGCATAGAGAATTGCAGCAGAGGCTCTTCGCTAAAGAAGACTTATCTTTCCAAGATGCCTTGAGAGAGGTTACTGCAGAAGAGGCAGCGGGCGGCGCCATCAAGAACATGAGGCCGATCAGAAGCACTCCAGAAGCTGTGTCCGTGCACCAGGAAGGACTCCAAAGGAACCTAGAGGAGGATCCTGACGATGAAGTAGACCGTCTCTACCCCACGAAAGAAGGGAAACAGAAGGAAAGCTCTTCAGCTCTCCCCAAGTGCCTCAGTTGTGGAGGTCACCACAAGAGGACCGACTGTAGATTCCGCTCCGCTATCTGTAGGGCATGCGGAAAACAGGGACACATTGCAGCTGTGTGTCTGGGCCGTCCGAAGGTACAACCTCGGGAAGAATTGCGCCTGGAAGGTACCAGGGTCCCCAGCCAAAACAGGGTGGGTTTCTGTGCTTTGCGAAGAAGCATTTATAGGACAGGCATACACAAGCCCATTAAGAAAAAGCTGTCTCTTAAAGTGAAGCTACAAGGGATTCCATTGGCTATGGAACTGGATACGGGGTCTGCACTTTCAATCATTTCCATGCACACGTTTAGGAAGATTTGTTCTGGCAGCGGATTTCAGGCCAAGCTGAGGCCTTCCGACATTGTGTTAACAGACTTTCAAAACTCCAGAGTGTGTGTTAAGGGGGAGGCCACCCTTAACGTACAGTATAAGGATTTTGAAGGTCCACTAGATGTAACAGTAGTATGAGGTGAGTGAACGAGTCTCATAGGACTCGATTGGTTTGAGGCCTTGGGAATACACGTCACAGGGCTCAATAGCTTGCAAACAGTAGACCTACAAGAAGTCTGCAAAGAATTTACAGATGTTTTCAGCCCACAGCTGGGCACGTACAAAGGACCCCCTGTGTCACTGAAATTAGACCCCACTGTCACCCCTATTAGAATTAAAGCAAGAAGGGTTCCTTTTGCCTTGAAAGGTAAAATTGACACCGAATTGGACAAATTGATTCAGCAAGGAGTTTTAGAACCTGTCGACTCCAGTCCTTGGGAGACCCCCATTGTCACGACTCTTAAGGCAAATGGGGACATTCGCATCTGTGCAGATTACAAATGCACTCTGAATAAGGCATTGCAGCAACATGCCTATCCTGTTCCCGTGGTCAGTCATATTCTGGCCTCCCTCAAGGGGGGGCATGTTTTTGCAAAGCTTGACCTAGCTCAGGCGTATCAACAGTTGCCTGTTGATGATGCTGCTGCTGTAGCTCAAACCATTGTGACCCACAGGGGGGCATTCAAGGTAAAGAGGTTACAATTTGGAGTAAATGTTGCTCCTGGAATTTTCCAAAGTATAATGGAAAACACACTACGGGGTATACCAGGGGTTTGCCCCTATTTTGATGATGTCTTAATTGCTGGAGACTCTACACACAACTTAGCTGAGAGATTAAGGGCTGTCCTGCTGAGGTTCAGGAAAACGGGCCTCAAACTTAAGAAGGACAAATGTAAAATTGGGGTGCCTTCTACAGATTTTCTGGGATTCAAAATTGATGCTACCGGGATTCACCCTGCTGAATCCAAATTGAAAGCTATTATGCATGCTCCTAGGCCAAAGTCCAAGGCCGAACTACAGGCCTTTCTGGGCCTTCTGAACTTTTACAACTCCTTCCTTCCAAACAAGGCTAGTGTAGCCGAGCCTCTTCATAGGCTCCTGGACAAACAGGCAGTGTGGCAGTGGTCACAAAAACACGAAGCAAGTTTCAATGAGGTTAAGGCCTTACTCACTTCTAACAGTGTGCTCGCACATTTCAATGAATCCCTTCCTGTGTGCATCGCTTGTGATGCTTCTCCTTATGGGGTGGGAGCTGTACTAAGCCACCTCAGACCGGATGGAACTCAGGTTCCTGTTGCATATTACTCCAGAACCTTGTCTTCAGCA